TTTATACAGTCAACTTAGAGTACTTCTTTGTTCTTTTAGCGTTGCAGGCTTGTATTACGTATGCATGCAGACAGTCGAAGTCATTAGAAGTAGATCAATGTATCAGTCTCATAGGTTAATACAAAATAGTATTATTGCGTGCGTATGTGTGTGTGCGTGTGCTGATATAATTTATTTCTAATGGGAGGGTAGGGTTATTGGCGAACCACCCATGATAAAGGTAAGATAAGTCAGGACGGGAGGAGTAGTATGGATATAAAGTAAAGGATAGCACAGAGTCGAGTCGACTTCAATAAAAAGAAGTCACTTCTATGCTCGCGAATGGTTAACTTAGAAATTCGAAAAAGATTGTTAAAGGTGTATGTCTGGAGAGCGGCGCTGTACGGGTGCGAAACATGGACGGTGGGCAGCCCCGAAAAGAAAAGGTTTCAAGCGTTCGAAATGTGGTGTTACAGGGGAATGATGAGGATATCGTAGAGAGAGAGGATTAAAATGAAGAGATATTAAAAAGAATAGGAGAATAGAGGACTGTATGGAAGTCAAAAAGAAATAGGCAAGATAGGTTAATAGGACACCTTCTCAGGCATGAAGGTCTAGTCAGAGACATATTAGAGGCAGAAACGGGAGTTAGGAGGAGTAGAGGCAGACCTAGATTAGATTACTGTTCGCAAATAGTTAAGGATTGTTCTAGTATTGGGGAAATACAGGATAGGAAGAAGTGGAGGTGCGTGTCCAATCAGTCTTAGGATTGACGGCCTTATGATGATGATGGCATTATGTTTAGTAGCGTAGTAGTAACCTATTGATGTTTACTTTATTAGTTGTTCCACAACCGTCATTGTCTGCATTTTTCATCGATGTAGTTGCTTAATTGTCATCGTAGTTTCTCTATTCGCCCTAAGCCGGATTTAGATTGCAATTTTGGTTTTCATACAAATTATTTACACGCTACCTTACTTGTCATGCAATTCCCTGTTGTATCTAGCTACCCCCTCCACAGCTTCCTACTTATTTCAGAAACATCCTGTATAGGCTTGGCTAATTTTCTACTTGCCCTACAAACAAGTAACTAATAATAATTTATTTATCAGGAGCGTAGAAAATTTTCGGTGCGTCTAAAGTAATTGCCTATGACCGTTTGTGTGTCGGTTTAATATTTCGCGGTGTGGTCATCAGATTAGCAACGGCGAGGTTGAAATTCGTATGACCTTTAACATGGTTAGGAACAGTTTTCTGTTAAATTTAATTAGAGGCCTGCGGATAAGTAAAGGCCGGCCATCTATCTATCTCGTCATTCGAAATTAGAAAATTGAATCTCGTGCTGCTTCTCTATAAGTATTCGACATGAACGTTTAGAGCTTTAGACAACGGAGCGACGGCGACGCCGATGACGACGCGACCCGCTTGCTTTATATTATCATCCTTTTTGGTTAGCCAGTCAGTCAATCAACAGTTTCTTGCTAACGGCAGCCGCTAAAATTCAACACAATATTAAACCGCATGTAATCATTCCAATTATGCCTTTCAAGCGATTCTCGACATGCGCTGGAGGAGCAGGTGTGGCTCCAGAACACAATGCAAAAATCTTCAGGGTGTGTTAAGTGGTTTTGAAACACCCTACGTGTCGTCGACTCCGTCTTGCAAAATATACAATTAAACGATGATTGCCGCTTTTATTTTAATTGCGTTTCCAAATATGTCATCCGCTATATCTATTGTGTCCCTAGCCTATAGGTAGGTACTATCTGGTACTTTATTAACAATTGCGGCAGTTACGGAAATTGAAGTGTTGTAGGAAATTTTGGAGGGTCTACTGAAGCAAACTCAAAATTTCTTAAAAGGCACTTAAGTTGACAGGAAACACACTTTCAACGACTTTAACAAATGAGGCTTTTCAATAAGACATAAAGCTTCTTCGGCATAATACAATTGCTCATTTTATTATTTATTAAATCTTGACGAGTAAAAGTTGAATAGAATAACATAAACCAGAAAAGCTATGGAAGTATAACCGTTGCTTGTTTCCAGTAAGTAAACAGAATCTTCATAAACTTGTACTTAACTGATTGAATCATTTGTAATCAAATACTATCCTCAAACTTCAATTATTCTTTCCTTATTTACTTGGAATAATATTTACTTTAATTATATATAAAGTCTAAAAGATAATGATAAATTCACATTTTATCATCATCATCACAAGGTCCGCAGTGCAAAGACTGGTTGGACACGTATCTCCACTCTTTCCTATCCTGAACTAATCTTCGCATTTCCCTGAAACTAGAACAACCCATATCCTTAACTATTTGCGAACAGTAATCTAATCTAGGTCTATCTTCGTGCCTGAGAAGGTGTCTTACTAACCTATCTCGCCTATTTCTTATCGACTTCCATAGAGTCCTCTGTTCTCCTATTCTTTCTAATACCTCTTCATTTTAATTCTCTCTATCCACGGTATCCTAATCATTTGCCTGTAACACCACATTTCGAACGCTTCTAACCTTTTCTTTTCCGCCACTTCTACTATCCATGTTTCGCACCCGTACAGCGCCGTGCTCCAAACATACACCTTTAACAACCATTTTCGAAGTGGACTTCTAACCTAACCTAACCGAACTTTAGTCCCTGAAGAAGGTAATAATATCGATATTCCTTGTCTAACAGATGCATAAACAATAGTCTAACTCTACTCCAGCCTCTCTCACCTCCTGTTCCTGCTTCTAATATGTCTCTAATTAACCCTTCATATCTGGCGGAAAACTTATTGTTCGTGTTAACCAATCAGTACGTAATGCTTTTCAATATTATAGTTAAACAGAACTACAAAATGATCCCCTAACGATTAAGGATTTTTCATTTCGAAATAAGTTCTACAATGAAAACGTTTTTAAAACGTGTTACAATTATTACATCTTGAAGGAATGCGCTTCTACACACTAACTTTTGTCACAGCATTTAGGTATCTATTCTAGTACAACCTCATTGGTAGATATACATGATTTATGCCTGGTTGTACCACATGTACCTTGTACCTATGTATCTAGTAAAAATAATTTTGTTATTAATTTCACTCCTAATAATTTATTGCTCGTTTACTACAAGTGCATATGATCGTAATGAGATTTGCAATAGAGTTAAAATTTATAACACAACGGGCACAGAGAGACATAACGGTAAACTGCATAAGTTACATGCCTGTTTTTTTTTTAATCTTGTAGACTCATGGTGCGTATTTGAAATTTTATGTCTAATGGTTAGATATTCAAATGATTAACTGATATTATAAAGATCAATACAGGCCTTTGCTGAGAAAATGTATTTAACTATATGTATTTTTAAATTAAAGTAACCAATTCTTCAAAGTACGCTTAAGTATTTATCTAAAATTACGAATCTACATAAATATCACGTTCTTTTTTAGTTATTTTAGATTCCCACCCCAAAATAAGGTACTAATATCTAATTGCAAATTGCAGATCCTTTTCTTCCATGTAGGACAAAGGGTATTCTTCTATCCATTTTTGTCGGGTAATTTTATAATTTATCGTAAAATTACAATTATAACGGAATATTTACAGTTGGTTAAAGTATAGGGGTTGTATATATTAAAATAAATACCCTGCTGATGAAGCTTCAATTAGATAATCTATGTACAATTCTTAAAGGAACTGTCATACATATATGTAGTTAGAAATTATGTTGAAAGTACTAAAATGGAATCTTGTTAAAACGAATTCTAGACCCAAAAGGGCCCAATCTTGTTTTAAAAATTATTGTACAGCAAGTCCCAATTGAAAGGCAATTTTTAAACATGAAATTAATACCTAAATATAATACGTGTAAGTATTATATTCAAATTAATATTTTATTCTAATGATTGTCTTCATTAGTGATTTTAGGTTATCACAAGCAATGACAATTGTCTTTATTAATACAATTATATACACACAAGATTTTTTCAGGTAGGTACAGGCCTGACGCTGGAAGCTGGCGGAAATTTTAAAATGGCGTGGATGCGCGGTGGCAAAAGTAGGCAGTTTTAGGTATAAAGATTGCAGCCCTCATTCTTCAGTATTCCTATCAGGAGCGTAGATTAAATATTTAAAAGTTGGGATCATTGAGCAAGTAATAGACATACAAACATAAGAACTAATTGTTGATGTTGGTGACAGCGATAGAGATTCCCATGATGACAGTGAATGTGAAAATTAACTATAAAACAAAAGCAATAGGTTAATTTTTTCTTTTTGATAAGTCATGTTTTTACATTATTTTCTAGTACGCTACTGTCCTATCTGTATTAATACTATAATTTACGCCTACTGAAAGCTTATTTGTGTATCGGTTCCAAGTGACTTACCCAAATAGGTCATAAATGGGCAAGTACCTGCGCGACCGCTCGCCAGCTTCCTTCGTCAGACCTGTACCTTTCCACTGTTGTAAGTTGAAATAAAAGTCTCAATTCCCTCTTCCCAAACGTACCCTTTTTATGAGCAATATTCTCAGAACGAATTATTTAAAGAGTGTACCTAATTACTTAAATTAACTTAAAACATCAATTAATAAAATAACTTACCAATATGTATGTCACTATATATCCCCCATAATTTGAATATATTTTTTCATCAAAAACGGATCACTTCCGATTACTTTCACTTGTACAAATAGTGTCACCGAAATACGTTTGTTCTATTACAAGGAATCATATTACCATAATAAAAACATGTAGCTTAATAAAGGTTGGCGTTGAATGTTTTTATTACGTCACGTTGTTCGGCCATCTTTAATTAAACGTCTATTAATTTGTGCTTCTATTAAAAGCAGGTACTGAACTGTAGAAATGCTGCAATCGTGAAGAATTTGTGAGATATTATTCTTAATGTGACTTTTTAATAAATACAATTGATAATGTAATGTTGCGTGTTGCCTATGCATCAATCTTAACTAAATCCTTTTTCTTCAATTTTTGTCCGTATAATAATAGTACTGGTGTCATCGCTATAAATAACTTTCGCCCTTCCTCTAAACAACAAGCAAACGGCATAGCAAATAGACATCGCATTTCTTCGTGCATTATAAAAACTGTATCACGGAGCTGTTCGTAAAACGAAGTGCATTTGCTGATAATAAACCGGTTGATGTTAACTGTTTTGTACTATTTCATCATTTTAAATAAAATTATCGATAATTGTAAAGAACAAGTGATATATTAGTGGCTTTAAAAAACGATAAAGTATTTAATTTAAATCAAAATTATACGCGTGCAAAATGAAATTAATTTCAAGTGATTACACATTTACATGCAAGATATTAACTGGACGATATAACTTATTGTAAGTATTATTAATACCTATATAGGTATACAGTATATGTATAAAACTAAAAATAAAAACAAATCCAGATAATCAACTAATCTTAGTGTTAATCTCATTACAGGTATTTGTCAACTCATTCGCAAATTAAGGAACGACAATGAGCGGTACATTTATTTTATTATGAAGTATCCACGGAAATTGGTCAGAACTGCAATTGGTAAGTTTTATTTATTTTTTATGGTTCTTACTATAGAAGAGCAAACAATTAATTTGAAATAGTTTTTAATAATTTTTTTGCACAATTAATACAAAATCTGAAGTACTTTTTGATTATTTGGGTTCTTCCTATTAAAATTAGTCAACCAATCGTAGATATTTCGATATCTATGATAAAAAAATGCACTTTTTACTTAAATATTAAAGCGATATTTACAACTTATCCCACTAGCCCGTTGCTTCGTAAGCGAAAATAATAAAAATTACAATTTGGACCCGAATTTGTAAAAATAAAATCCCAACAGAAATAAATTTACCAGGCATTTTAGTTAATATCACAAATTCAATTGTAATAATTAAGAAACTTGAAATAATTTTTAAAGAAACATGTCAAAATTGAGATTATTACAAGTTACCTATTAAATTCTACTATTTCTTCGGCAAATTTAGTCATTTACAATCGAAAATTGTAATTTTTGCGTTGTCATAAAAGTTTAGTTTTCTCCGTGTATCTATAGAAGACACTAATCGAGTTATCTACGTAAATTTTTAAGTAAACCAAAGAAAAAGGGGTCGAACAAAGGTTTTTTTGATATAATTATATAAAAATGAAACCTTATATTATTATGATTATTATTATTATGCTTAACTAAAGTCGTGATGTTTGCATTAGAGAGTAGGAATACGTCGAAAGGAATCTTATGAATTACACATTTTGAAAATTATAGCGAATGAAATTCCATTTTTTACTTTTAAATCAAAAATTTCTTTTGAATCGTTCTCCTTTCCAATATCTGATATCGCTCTGGTGTGGTTTCCTGCTTTTGTCTTTCCAAGCGACCATTTCATTTGATCTGCAAATGTTTAGTTCTGGTGTGGTCGGGACGCCCGTGAAGTAACATTTTATTCGGCAGTAGTAGTCGATACCGAGATAAGAGATGTAATTTGGCGTAACAAACAAATCATGATTTTTCTGACATGGCCCGACGACTGAGAGCCTCGGTTATTTTACAGTTAACCGGTTGTTGGTGTGGCATACCTAGTCAATGGCGCGGTTTCTGACACTTGTAATTTGGACGGGTGTCATGTCAATTCTCCCCATGCTATCCCATCAAATTTCGATACGAATCGTCGACTTTGTACCGTCTAGTAAATGTGGATACAACCACACGACTTTATAACGCACAAAAAAGTCATTATTTATTATGAAGTAGGTGTTTCACACTTAAATGTCTAACAATTTGTTCAACTTAAGTAGTACTAAATGATTAGTATCGTATGGGGTCGATATTGGACTAATTTATCTTATTTAACATAAAAAAGTATTACATCGGTCAGAGATCGAACTCAGACTGAGCTTATTGCCCTGGAAAACATTGAGCTTGCAAGGATTTCGAAATTTCTGCTCATACTTTTTGAACTCTGCAGTAGTAGTAGGCATACGTAATATGATCATTGTAATTTCTAATGCCGGTTTCGGATAAGTTTAGTGCAATTGTTTTACTAATTCATTTTAGTGAGACATTTATTTGCAATAGATTCTTAAAAATCCCACGTGGATTAAAGTTTTTGTTCATGCAAGTATCCACTTCTCGAATAGGAATAAAAAATAGCTGATATGAAATATTAATCTGAAAATTCATTTTTGAATTTTTTACCCACTACACGCTACCTCAAATTAATGAGGGAAAAATTGTTGCTGTTGTCACACCCCCGCCGGGAATCGAACCCGGGACCTGTGCCTTTCGTAGTTTAGTGGTCAGAACATTGGTGCGTAAAGCCAAAGGTCCCGGGTTCGATTGTGTGACAACAGCAATACTTTTTCCTTCATTAATTTGTGGTAGCGTGTAGTGGGTAAAAAATTCAAAAATGAATTTTCAGAATAATATTTCATATTAAACTAACTCACTTCTAAAAGTTGTCTAAATTGTATGTATGTTTAAAAAATAGCTGTTTCAGTATACTCACTCTTACGTGATACTTGACGTGGAAAACTGTCCTGATTACGCAGTCAGGATACGGCTCCGATTTGTTTAATGAGAGATATATTAACTCCATGTTCATATAATTAGCAAAGGACCAGAAAGCAATATCAGACTATTTAGTAAGTGTTACTGAATTTTCCGGTCAGTTATAACTGACACCGTAGTGGCCATTACAATAACAAATTACTTCTAACATTAATGGCACTTGGAGATAAATCGCTAATGAGACTATCAACTTCTTGTATCTGATCCGCCGAATGGGTCCAGGTAGTGGTCGGACGAATAATAACAGTGCGGTGTCTTGTCCAAAGTCTGCGATTGCCAAAATTGGATACATGGGATACTCTGTTTTGCAACCGACCGACGGCGACGTTATCAGAGCGGTCAGTTCTTTGCTGTCCTCGGGACAAGAGATAAAACGACATGCGAATAACATATACACACATAGGTGCGTGAGCTTATACAAAAGTTTTGTTTCGTAACAACACGCGAACTTTAATAAGATCGTTCGATAGTAGTTACTTTTATTTAAACTTTGATTCCGTCATTGTCAGGTGGCAGTGAACTAATAGCGTGGGTGGGTCTAAATTGAAATACTTTATTAAATAATCTTAAGGTGTTTAATATTACTTTACATGATTCCAAGAAAGGGATAATAAGGGTGGTCTTACTTTACCCACGTTAAAACTGTTTCATGTATTCATCTTCATAGGGTCGTCAGTATACTCAGACTAGTTGGACACGCACCTCCGCTCTTTCCTATCCCGAGTTAATCTTCGCATTTCCCAAAAATCTTTTTCGAATTTCTAAAGGCGACTCGACTGTGCGCTATCCTGCGCTTTATATCCCTACTACTCCCTCCGTCCTAACTTATCTGACTTCCTAGATACCTAAAATCAGTCACTTCTAATTTTTCATCTTCTATCTTTATATTCGCCCTTTCCTGACTTTTTCTTCCCTTGCAAACTAGTATTTTTGTTTTACTTTTATTTATTTTCAGACAATACTGTTTTGTCAACACCTTTTCCTTTTTATTTAGATCAGTAAATTCCATCATCATCATAAGGTCGTCTATCCTAAGACTGGTTGGACGCGCACCTCCACTCATTCCTATCCTGAGCTAATCTTTGCATTTCCCCAAAACCAGAACAACCCACATCCTAAATTATTGCGTATCCTATTTTTATATTCGCTCTCTCTTTTCTGCTAGATGCTAATACTGCTATATCATCTGCAAATCTAAGCCTACTAATCTTTTGCCCCTGTATATCTATCCCTACAGTTGTACTGTCTTTAATGATGTTGATCGCGTCTTCGATGTATAGATTAAAAAAATAGAGGTGACAGTGTGCATCCCTGTCTGACTCCCTTCCTAATATCCGCTTCTCTACGTTGCAGCCCCAGCTCTATAACTGCCTGTTGCTCTTTATACAAACTAAGTATCACTCTTCTATTTTTGTAACTCATCCCTACATTTTTAAGTATATTTAACATCTTGTCCCATTTAATGTTGTTATCCGTTAATATTGTCAAAAGCTTTTTATATCTATTTCCTTTTTCTATCGTTTTCTCTATTGTTATCCGTAAAGCTAGAATGGCCTCCCGCGTTGTTCTGTTGCTTCTAAACCCAAACTGATCTTCCCCTAATAGTTCTTCCGCCCTTTTTTTCCATCCTCCTCTATACAATTCTAGTTAAGATTTTTGACGTATGGGAAGTTAAGCTAATTTTTCTACCTATCCGCGCCTCTCTTTTTAGGTATGGTTACTACCACGTTTCGTTTATAATCCTCTGGGACTTTCCCCGTCTCGTAAATGTGACTAACTAGCTTAAAAATACGATCTCTAACCTCTTGCCCTGCATGTTTTAGAATTTTCGCCTGTATCTCATCTATACCTGGCGCTTTATTATTCTTTACGTTTTTTTGATGCTACATCGAACTCTTCCCTTAATGCATTATATTTTATATTAAATTTCCCTAATCCTAAATGTCAATTAATTTTTTCTAATTACTAACGAAACAATGTCCATTATTTATTGGGTAACTTATCTTAATCAAACGAAATTATCGTATAGCCGAGTCTTTCTTTCATGTTACCGGTCTCATTTTTCTTTTGTATAAAAACCATTATTAAGTAGTAATCATAATTAAGTATTATTCACTGTTGTCGCACTATTAGCGGTTTATTTTTGTGGAACTTTAACCATCAGACCGCAGAAAACGGTATTTGAATGGGCCAATGGCTACTAAAACATTTACTTGTCGTAGGCAATTTAGTACTGGGCATCTGTGCGGCTAATTCCCTCTATTCTGCTTCTACGAAACTAGAAGCAAAAGAAATACGTACAATGCTTTTGGGCACAAAATCCGCAGCGCCAAAATACCAACAAAAACTAAGCAACTTCTTTTCCTCTACTCCTGTTTTTAAAGTCATTTTACTTTTTTTGTGTTAGCCGCGTTAATATTAAGGCTATACAGTAATCAACATTAATAGAAAAATTACAGAGTAGCACTGTGAACCGTCAAGATGTTAGTAATGAATTAATTTCTACTGAATCTTAATATTTTATTTTTCTTGAAGGCTAGATTGTGAATAGGAAGGTTACTTTGGTTTTGAAATTTTATCAAAGCAACCTAACCTAACCTAACCTTCAAAAAGTTAGTCTTAATAACTATTCGGGTGTGGACCAATGCTAGGTTACCAGCTTACATAATAATTTCTATTGTAACAGCAATAGCGTACAAAATTCATACATTGTTTGGTATAGGTGACATCACCAAGGGCGTTATTACGCGTATGGTACCCTTGGCAGAAACCAGGGACCATTACTACCTAGCTTTGGATTTCATTGCCTCAGAAATCATAATTATGTTTTTACCAGTACGTAAGTCGACAGTCAGAAAGAAATACGTCATCATAAGTCTAAGAAGTCAAAAAGGTACAACCCTGTATACCTACCTTTAATGATAAACTGATAAGTAGATGATAGCGCTCACATACCTAATACCTGTTAGGA